TGGTTTTGTATATACTTTGGGATAAATATAATAATAACTGCAATAAAATACACCACACTTCTTTTAATCCCACAACCCTATTTAAAGTGATTGTAATCCCTTATATATACCCAGTAAAGTGACTAGCCTCAGGTGATACACAGAGATGAAATAAATATTACTATATGAGTTGAACCTGTTTATCTTCAACCATTTATTCTCTACAGTCATTCAAAGTCCAGCATTTGTACAGCTTGTCTGAGCTTTCAGAAAGCAGGGGGAGGGGAGCTAAATTACGCTCTGCAGAGCTCAGTGACGAGAGCTCTGAAAGTTGATAGGAGGGAAGGGAAACATCCTCTTCACACAGCACACGGGAACAGAGATGTGGCTGTCAAACACAGGCTGTGTGCTGGAGTCCCTCCCCTGTCACCTTTTTTTCCTTGGTGTCAGAAAAACTTGTCAGATGTGACTCATACAGACAGCAGAGGAACGGGGTAGCAGGCAGAAATTACACTTAGTGCTCTGGATTGAGACAACTACATACTATAGAGGAATATGCTTTGTTCAGATTCCATGTCTGAGGTTTACAACGACTTTAACTCTATAGTTCATCCTAGCCAACTTTCTGTTAAAATCCTCTAGAAAGTACATTGAACCATAGCAGCTAATTTTAGGCTGCAGATCAAGATGTAGAAAGCCCCACAATGTCTCAGTATTTTCTTTGACAAAATTCCAGGCAAAAATCTTCATTTCTGTTGCAGCTAAAGTGATCCATACTTGGGTTAAATGTGAGCACCAAGGGGTATTCTGTAGTGGTTTAAATAGTGTAATATGCTTTTTCCCGTCACTCTCTGTCCAACCCACATTCTGTCCCTGAGTACTTCTTGAACTGAGTGTCTGAAGTGTGGGGGCCTGGTCTCCAATCACTTGTACATTATAATTTCTCGTAATGGATATGAGAATACAGCTACATTTAAAGCCCAATAAATCAATTGTTCCGAGAGCTCTTCCTGGCAGGTATCAATTACACCCTATTTCTAAATTAACTTTAGGTTTCATTTTATCCTGTTATTTACTGATTTTAGTACATTTTAAAAGAAAAGTTTCTCCCCAGCTACCATTCCGAGAATAATTCCTATTAATGTGTCAAAGACTAATACTTTAAATGGAAGACTATTATATGAAAATTAGATTTTTTTTTTCTACTTTATAAGGACTCCCAGCAGAAATGAAGGTGCCTCCAATGGCATAATCACATGCCAAGTCTGATGGTACAAAACATAATATGCACATTGTATATCCTCATCATCATGAAATCAGATACTGGCAGACATTAACCCTTCCCACCCTTCCCTGCATCCCTTTACATCATTTGGAAAGGATGGGCGATCATGATCGGAAGCCAGTCTCTCCGGCTACTGATCTGTAGCCCAGAGTGCTGTCTGCTGAAAGCATACAGTGAGAATGCTCTCAGCTCATAAACAACAGCCACCCAGCGATGCATATGTATGCCCGTATGGATGTTAGAGCCTACCCTTTGCAGCCGTATATATGTGTCAGGCTGTCAATAAAGGGTTAACCTAAAACATCTTTTCTGTGATATGCCCAAATTTTTGACAGTTCCATCATTAACATATTTATGGAATCTGAAAATGGGACCATCAAAATCTGGACAATATGAAGGTACACATTCGGAACACTAAAAGATAAAAGTGGTCTACAACAAGGATTACATTAGTAAACCAATTCTTGTAAATCCAGAAGGGCATTTGTTTTCTATTTGAATAGTTTATTAATTTTGCAGAGTTTAAGTTTAAGATCATAGTTAGACTTTGAGTGTTTAAAGCCTAACTAGCTATATATATATATGTAAATATATATATATATATTCCACAGATGTTGTTAAAAAAAAAAAAACAGTTCAGACTGCTGTACTCACCTTCAGTCCAGAACTGTCCTCAGTCATTTGGGTTGAATGACCCCCAGAGTAACTCAACATGGAAGACTGAGAATATACAGTGAGTGCAACGTGTCATGGGCCTGCCCCCAAAGGGTGCCCTGCATTCGGTATGTATTTGTGCAGAGTTTGGCACTGATGTCATTACATCAAAGACATTCTCTGCATCATTAAAGACCTACCAGCCCAGAGAAGAGGAAGAAGACCCCTGTGGCATCACCAGCCAAAGTCATAAGTAAAGGTGAGTAAAAAAAAAATGCATAAAAAAACAACTTGGGGGACCTTAGGGAGGGAAGCGGAGTTGGGGTTTAATGCTTTGTGTATCACATATGCTTGCAGTAGGGTTTCAGCGTGACAGTATCTGCTCGGGCTTCTTTTCTCATTAATCAAATTCAAGTAGAGAGGCAATCTCTGTAACATGTACTGTCTGTCTGAGAAAAAGTACACATTTTTTATTAGCTGTCGAAATGATACTTTCACTGGCATCAAAAGTGATAAACAGTAATAGACAATCAATCACAAAAAAAAGCAAAGGCTTATACAAAACACAGTGTTGTTTCTGTAGAGGAATAAAGAAGAGAACTTACGTTGGCAAGCATTCCTCTTCTCTTCAAAGCCTGGTTTGCAGGAACAACGGCCAATAGGTACCAGCCAACCACCATCAGCACTACAGTACATCTTAGGCACATCAAACTCCACTGAGTTATTGACACATGTTCCTTTTACTTCCACCAATGCTGAATCCCCTCCAGTAACAGTGTCAGGGAAGAGGGCCAAGTTGCGGATGGTCGTTGGACACTTTTTGTAGAAGACCCGGACTGATACCAAAGCAATACATGCTCCAACATCTTGAAAAGCCAAATAGAATCCTTTCTTGTACAAGTTACTAATGTCTCTCACTTCTGTATTAAGCTTCATGACCCGGTCACCAACATCCACCTGGGTAAAACTTTCATCTGCAGCAATAGTGTCAATCTTAATGAACTGATTCTCATGAATGTGCCACAAGTTACTGTTGTCCGACTCATAATAGTACATGTTGAAGGTTTCCTTGCAGGTGCCTGATACCCCTGGTAGACTATTGCAGTCTCTCAAGGTGAAACTTGATTTCAATATATACACGTTGGGCCTCTCCTCTTGGTATCCAGCTGGTCCTCAACCAGTTATTTTGGTTGATTTCTAATACATTGCAGACTTGGTACGTTCTCATAGGCGTGTTTCTTTCATCCATTACACTGATTTCTTCCCACTGGTATAAATGAACACAATGATAAATGAGGGTACAAGAAAAAAACAAACATGAATAGTTATTAGGCCTGGCATCAAACTCTCTGGCAATTACAGCTTGTATATTTTAAGGGACCATATAGGAAAAACAATTAAACAATGCAAGCTGATGATAATGATGCTAATAATTAATACTCTACATTAGGATATATGTTTTTTCAGCATTTCATTACCAATTTACTTTTGGCAATGTCGCTTTCAGCCTAGACTGGCTCCCGAAAATTATATATTAGTACAGACATCAGAAAGGTAAACAAAGGGGATATCTGATGGTGATAATGATATAGTCCAGGACATTGAATTTATAACTTTGAGGTATTTGCAAATGGCCAAGGTTTAGATTAACAACTGGTGGTAAAATACACAGTTTAGTTTTAGCACGGGGGAGGGGGTGGGGAGTTAAATGTCATTAAAACACCTAATAAAAAGCATCCCAAATGCTGAAAGATATGCGGCTTAGTATCAACATAGCTGGTGGATTGTAGGCTCACCACAGACATGCTTGGGCTGGTTAGTTCTCAGTGGTGGGGGTACGTCTTACATAGGGTGAATGTTACCGTAAAGTCCTTTCTCTATTCAAGAACAGATACTGCTGAATTTAGAGAATGCAATACTCACTGAGTGAATCCTGGATGAATTTCCACAAATTTGGTGAATGTACACCAAGGAATTTTGGGAAAATTTAGAGTAAGATTTTGGTGAATATCAGATGAAATGACCTTCAGATCTTTGATAAGTATACCCCTGTGAAAGTGGAACCTTAGGCATACAGCTAAAATCATGAGGCTGAAATACATATGTTTACTGTATGGATGTCACCGGTATGACTGTACAGTTTGCAAACTGTATGGAAAACATAAGATAGTTTGCATAAAATTACAAATCCTTATATGAGTAAAGAATTAAAGGAGAACTATAGCCAAAGCTGTTTTGGCTATACTTCTCTTGTAGGTCACAGGAGTGCAGTTTGTTCTGCACTCCTGTGATCCATTTCTAGTTGACAGCGGGCTAAATTCCAATGTTGGCTAACGTCATTCGGCTGGTCTAGGCTCTGAAAAGATCCCGGCTATATGGTCAGGATCCACCCAGAAGCCTAGACCGGCACCTGGCTCAGCCTCTCTGCAATCTGATGGCCCCAGCCCCTCCTGCTTCCTCCACAGTCCAGCACTCTAGTGAGCACTGGAGGGGCAGAGCATAGAGCTGGAGACTGATAGTCATGGCTCTCTGCTCAGAGCTGAGGGGGAGAATTGAGCGATCAGCAGTGTTTGATTGCTCAGTTCTCACTGCAGAACTGGCAGGGGAAAGGACACCTAGGTGAGTATAATTTTTTTTTTTCCCCCATACTTCTCTTTTAAACATGTATGTATGTCAAGTGCATTTTTAGCCCTTTCATGGAGTTCTGCTTTATGTTTCATATATCAAAGTGTCATAGGATTATGCAGTGTTCCTTAACCACTTGCCTACCAGGCCAATTTTCAGCTTTCAGCGCTGTCGCACTTTGATTGACAATTGCACGGTCATGCAAGATTCTACCCATATGAAATTTTTATTAATTTTTTTCTCACAAATAGAGCTTTCTTTTGGTGGTATTTACTTGCCGGTGGATGTTTTACTTTTTGCGCTATAAACAAAAAAGTGCAAAAAATTTGAAAAAAAAAGTTTCTTTATTTCTATTATAAAATTTAGCAAACAGGTAATTTTTCTCCTTCACTGATGTGCGTTGATGAGCAGCACTGATGGGCACTGATAGGCAGCACTGATGGGCCCTGATAGGCAGCACTAATGAGGTGGCACGGATAGGCGGCACTGATAGGTGGCACTGATAGGCGGCACTGATGATGGGTACTGATAGACAGCACTGATAGGTGGCACTGACTGGCACCACTGCTGGGGACTGACTGACTGGCGGCACTGCTAGGCATTGACTGGTAGCACTGTTGGGCATTGACTGGCGCAACTGCTGGGCACTGACTGGTGGCACTGACTGGCAGCACTGCTGGGCTGCACTGATGGGCACTGGTGGGTGGCATTGGTGGTCACAGGTGGGTGGGCACAGGTGGGTGGCACTGCTGGGCACAAGTAGGTGGCACTTATGGATGGCACTGCTGGGCACAGGTGCGTGGCACTGCTGGGTGGCACAGGTGGTTGCACTGCTGGGCACAGGTGGGTGCACTGCTGGGCACAGGTGGGTGCACTGCTGGGCACAAGTGGGCGGAACTGGTGGGTGGCACTGCTGGGTACCGATCATCAGGGCACTGATCATCAGTGCCCTGATGATCGGTGCCGATCCCTGCTCTAACAACTGCCGGGTCTCGGCAGTACTTTCCTCACGATCTGACAGCGTGAGGAAAGTGCAGCCAAGAACCGGCAATTGCATTTCCCTGTGATCAGAGTGTCATTGGACATGGCTGATCACGTTGTAAAAGGCCGATGTGATTGGCCTTTTACCACATCACATGATCAGCTGTGTCCGTAGGACACAACGATCAAGGAGATCGCCGGGTACGCGCCCCCGGGGGCACGCAGGAGAGCACGTTCTAGGAGGATGTCATATGACGCCCTTCCAGAACTGGCCGGCCGCAGTGTAGCCGTCATTCGGCTATCTGAGGTCGGCAACTGGTTAAATACACTTTGCGTCCCAAACAATCCAACTTGGATAATCAGCAAAGTTTCTTTCACTTGCTCTATTAGCCCTCGTGCACACTAGGTGTTTATGTGTATTTTCATGCAGGCGGAAGGTACAGGTGCACCGTTTGGTCCAGGGGCGGACTGACAACTCATGGGGCCCCCGGGCAATAGGGGATCATAGGGCCCCTGTGTCCTTGCCCAAACTCAAAAAAGTCTATGAAAAAGGTAACAGGAGCATCTTATGGGGCCCCCTACTGACCCAGGGCCCTCGGGCACTGCTCGAATTTCCAAATGGTCAGTCTGCCCCTGGTTTGGTCCCACTGCCATCAGCCATCTAAGAGGCTGAATGTTGCTGTGGCTGGATAGGGATGTATGGTATGGTATGTCAATAGTATGAACATTTAGACTGTATGCACCCCGGACAAATGCCCAAAAAAACAGACTTCTTGAGCTTGGGCCGTTTGTCCCTGGGTGCATACTACTCTAAATATGGGCAGCACAGTGGCAAAATGGTTAGCATTTCCACCTGGCAGTACTAGGGTCGTTGGTTCGAATCCCAACCATGGCACCATGTTCTTGCATGTTCTGCCTGTGTGAGTACTCCAGTTTCTTCCCCCACTCTAAAGACATGCTGGTATGTTAATTGGATCCTGTCTAAATTGGCCCTAGTATGCATATGCATGAATGAAAGCTAGGGATCCTATGGCCCTAGAGGGTTAGGGACTGTTGTGAATATACAAAATATATGTAAAGCGCTGCATAAATTGACAGTGCTATATAGTACCTGAAATAAATAAATATTAGTGCGATTCAGTGCACTGTCCAGCTGCAGCAGCCTACAGACTTTTATGATCTGTTCACACTAGGTGCAGTGGGACTGTATTGGGCAGCTATTCCTGCACAGTGTCATACAAGATAAAGCAAAAAGTATTGTTTCCTATGAGCCCAGTTTGAGACCAGATTGTGGCGGTGTGTGGGTGGTGTACAGTAAAAAAAAAAAGTACAGCAGGCTGTACTTTTTTAATGCTGTGTAGTGCAAGGCAATCCGCTGCCTCACATGACACAACAGTAGATACAACGTAATGAAAGTCACTGTAACATTTCAATAACGTTGGTAAAAAAAAACTGAACAATATGATGCGCCGTGATCAGTTTTTCGGCACTGCAGCGATTCCACTGCACCGCCTGCTGGCAGTGGGGCCAGGTGGCGCGCCTGTGCCTTCCATCCACATGAAAACATCGGAATCTCATGCATCGGAGCAAATCATGCCTAACGCTGCAGAAATAGAATGTAGTGAAAAATTGCAAACTTCAAGATAAATGCATGGTAAACTTGGGATAATTCATCTTCATAAGACTCTAAATAAGCACAGACTGTCTGGTCTGTGTTCTTTTTCATCTAAACTATAAAGTTGGCCATAGATGGATCAAAATTTGGTCAGTTCAGCAGAGAGCAGCCGAATTCCAATCCATGTATGGGCAGGCTGGTTGTACTGAAGTCAATCCATCAATCGACTCAGTACAACCAGCTTGTTGTTTTTTTTTTTTTTTTATTCATTCGATCACTTCAGGCGGATATAGCAGCCTGCAGTGATCATAGCATTCTGACGGCTGAGAAACCTCCTGCTGTCAGAATACAATAGCACAGAGGGAGAGATTCTCCCATCAACTAAATGTGTTGATGGGGGAATCAAGTGATTTTCTTTCCTGCAACCAGCTGATGCTGGAAAGAAAATCGCTTAATGTATGACCTGCTTACGATTCATAATTTTATTTTCTATTATCACACCTGCACAAAGAAATGGATTATCTGATTGGTTGTTATTTTTTACCTATTGCAAGTAAATACAACATATACATTATTTTAGACTATGTCACATAGTCCAGCACATATATGTTTACACTATATACACATACTTATTCATGTATAACTTATGTATATGCAGGGGTTTTCAAACTGCTGACTTGGGTTTGTATTTTAAGTTTTACTGACTCGCATACAAGAGATAATGTTAGTAGGAATAAAAGGATTCACAATTTTACTGTACAACACACTTAATATACTAACCCCTTCTGATGGATATGCCACCCATCCCAGGTCTCCAGCAGCAGACATAGAATCAAGTAAAGTTACTGGAAGAAAAACAGAAAAGAAACACTTTTATAGTTATGTTGTACAATGATGATACAGTACATACGAGTCCACATTCAACCACTGCTAAATTCTCATTACATTAGATATACATTGCAGATGAAACAAAAATCCAGACCTCAGTTTGGCACTGATATTGTATGTTTTCTAGACCTCTTCACAGAAATGCAGATGAAATAATTAGTGTGCATGATGTAAGTCATCTTCAAACAAGCAAATATTGATGTAAATTGTATTTCAGTTCATCTTCAAAACCAATTTATTTTAATAGAGCCGGTTGCAATAATACGGTGGACTAATGTTCATTAAGAAAAGAAAAAGTCTCATGCAGAATGTTTTGCTCTGTTGACCCAAATTTTCTATTTAAGGCAATTGAATGAGGATCTTTAACTGCATCAACACCAAATCAAAATTCTCAAGTTTAGGAATGCATTCTTCAACATGTGCAAAATGAGCTAACCCTTATGGTTTTTTTTTTTTTTTGGGGGGGGGGGGTTTACAAACTAAATATGTCCTGAAATATGTGTGACTTCCTTGTACATGTGTTAAAGCTGAAGATTAACCACTTCAAGTCCGGACACTTTCACCCCCTTCCAGTCAAGGCCAATTTTCAGCTTTCAGTGCTATCACACATTGAATGACAATTGCGTGGTCATGCAACACTGTACCTATATGAACTTTGTAGCATTTTTTTTGAGAGAGATAAAACTTAATTTTGGTGGTATTTATTCACCACTAGGATTTTTATTTTTTTGCTATATAAAATGAAAAAGTCCAAAAACTTTGAAAAAAAAAGTGTTTTTTTTAATAAAAATGTGCAAAAAAATAATCTTTCTTTCTAAATCTTGGCTAAAATTTATTCATCTATCTTTTTAGTAAAAAAAAAATAAATAACCCAAATTAGTTTATAAATTAAAAATTAAAAATTTTACATTTTTATTTTATTTTGTTATATTATTATTTATGTTTTGTTTTTTGTTTTTTTTAAACATACTGTCACCCTAGCAGTACAGTGTCACCATAGTGAAATTGTACTGCTTGTGGAGGGTGACGAAGATTTTTTTTTCTTTTTTTACACTGATTGCTTTTACACCCATCAAGGCTATAAAAGCAACCATTTCTCCTTCTCTCTGGCTGCATTCTTGCAGCCATTGAGAACTACTGTGAGAGCTGTGATTGGTCACAGCTTGTCAAATTTTACAAGGCTGTTGTGAATAGCCTTGTACCAATCAGTGATCACATGAATCGGGACCTCACACAGAGGTCCCGTACAGCGATCTGTGTTCCAGTGTGTCCGCTGAGGACACAGCGGGCACCGATCATGGGAGCGCGCACAGGCAATGGATGCAAAGGGACGTTTAGAAACGTCTACCCGCATCAGCAGTGCTCCCGTCCAGCCGTTTATCTACATGGGCCAGATGGAAAGTGGTAATCTGTTTATATATTGTTTTCCATGGTTCATCCTTTTAACACCTATGCAGTTTGTGTTTGACCCATTTCTGCATTGCATTTTGCGTTGCTATTTAAGTTTTTTGCACCTGCGTTTTTGACGCGTTTTGCTTTTTTTTTAAGGAGCTTGTTGCTAGACAGATTTAAAACACAAAATGCAGCAAAAATGCAGCAAAAACACACTGCATGCTTATCTGCAGTGTTTCCATTGAAGTCTATAGAACCAAAAACTCAACTTTTTGCGTTCAAAAAAGTCCCTGACCCATTCCAAAAAACTCAGCGGATGAAAATGTGGGGATGTGAACGTGTCCCATAGGAAATCATGTTAAATGGACTGTAGTGCGTTTCTGCAAAACGCTGCGGAAAACGCTTGGGTGTGAACCTATGGTTAGACTTGGTGACATCATCATGGGATCTCTGCTCTTTTCTATGCAGTGCAGACATGGCTGGTATGAGGACCCAACAAGGTGCTGTACATAGCTTTCAAAAACTTTACAGCACCCTGCCTCTATCCTCTCCTCTCAAGAGACCTGATGCAAGCTGGGTCTTGGGAGAAGCTATGCAATTATCAAAATGCCTTGATGGATGTCAGTCTGGAGGAGTGGGCATTTCTTTGCAGGCTTTATTTTGCATGATGCCATCTCTAGAGCCTTCATGGTTGAAAGAACTGAGATCTTATATATGAAATGGGCAGGCCAAGGACAGTAAGTCTAGGGAGGAAAGATCTAGAGGATGCTGGCTGTTCTCTATCCAGAAAATGAGGTGGGTTCTGTCTGTAGTTTCTAATGCTTACTGTGAGAAGCTCGCTTTGCACACAAACTCAGAGTTATACAATTTCAGTAGAAGAGAGATGTAAGGAGCTCCTGATGATGTGCCGTCTGAAGGTGGCATCCCATCGATATCGTAAAAGCACTTTAAGTTGCATCACACCATGGTGTTTTCACTGGCATTTGGTCATGCTCTTTTATGTTCTTTTATGCTCTTTTTTGGACAATGCTTCTTGGGCAAGTCTTTTGGCCGGCCAAGGCAATTTGTATACTGGACGAAAAAAATGGAAGGGGCTCTGTCCTCTTCTGTCTAGGTAAATTCGATCAGAGGGCAGTTTGGTGTAAACAAATAGCGGAATTACAGTTTACTGCAGGTAAC